GCCGGCAGGAATGTGAGGTCTGTTGGCTTGCCATCTCGTGTGAAAGCGGACACCAGGCCCAGGCTTTACACAGACATGTCGCCCCAGCCGAGCAGCACGCCAATGCCGAGGAATTCGGGCGCCCCGCCGGGCGCTCCACTTGCGGAAACGGGGGAAGCTCACTACAGCCACCCGGCTACAGAGCACTCCAGAGCGGCCCCCGCCAAATCCAAAGCAGCATTGGAGAGTCCAGCCGGTCGCAAGCCAGTCAAAGCCGTGCAGAATGGAGTGGTTCATGCCTCTCCAGTCGGTACCTCTCTTTCGGCGAAGCTAGATGGGCGAAGGGCCGCATTGGCTATGGCTGCTCAGATGGCACAGGACTTAAAGAAGGAGGATTCGTTCAGCGAGCCTGGTCTGTCTACAGCGCCGGGCGAGCCAGCACACCTGATCGAGGACGACGACGAAGAGGAAGACTCCGATCGTCGTCTTGGGGGTATGGAGTAGCCCCTGCTTTTCGACAGGATCCTCACATGAAGGCTGCCTGGACTCCCCTCCCTATCGGACTTTCTTTGACTGCTGATTTCTCGGCGTCAGATTATTGTCCCAGTTGGCGGGGGGGCCATGGCGACTATCGTGTGCAGGAACTAGGCTTCTCACAGTATCTTTCTGAGGCGGCTTACGGTGTACAGGTCCCTCTTTTTCCTTATGGCACGGCCCCTCCTTGTTGGGTCTCTCATTCAGCTCACCCTAGGGCTTTGGGGATTGACTGGATGTTTGGCCATTCATCCTCGCGGAAGCAATGCACTCATTGGGTTCTTGAGTGTCATTGTTTCCCTCCGCCTCAACAGACTCCCTCAGTGAAGTTCTGGGATTCTGCTGTCCCTGCTTCCTGTCTGTCCTTGCCACGGACCTTTTTTGAATTCTGGGTCCGCTTCCTTCGTTGGACTTGGGCCCTGTGGGGGTGCCTTTGGTCTTCCATGGAACGTGGTTGGGCGCGTCCCGCGCTCTCAATAGTCTCGCCCTTGTCTGCAGTGTGCTTTTCAGGGCTGTATGCTGAGGATTCATTGCCCTTCCTTTTCCAAGACTGGAGCCTAACAGGTACATCGGTGGCTCAGGGGTACCGTCCAGTCTATCCTTTTTTCTGGGGGACCTTCAGTTTATTGATCTCACGGGTTAGCCCAATGCAGTGTATTTTGGGTTGCAGTAGTGGTAATGCTAGATGCCATATCTGCCACGTCCGGAGCCAAACAGATACATCGGTGGCTCAGGGGTATCGTCCGGACTTTTTCTTCTTTTCACCCTTGCACAGGGTCGCTGACCCGCCTCTGCATGCTGGCCTTCCGCCCCCTTTTTTGGAGGTGGCCTGGCGATGTGTGGCCCTTCTGGTGCATCTCAGATTTCTGGTTCTGATCTCGCTCCTTCGCCTGGTCTTACAGCCTTTGGGTATCAGACGCAGTCCTTTGGGGCGATTTTTGCTACTACCCACACTGGGTTTGCCGCCCTCTCTTGTGCTGCCAATGGCCTTTGCTTCTCCCTCAGCTTCTGATGGTGCCCGCCGAGGTGAACATCTGCAGACATGTGAGAGAGGTTTTTGTAAACGCCCCAGGTCCATAAGTCGCTCCCCTACCTGCCGTACTACCCTGATGCCTTGGGGATTCCTGTCTTTGTGGATCCTTTCTCTTCCAATGCAGGTTTGGGCAGCGCCCAAGGGGCTTCCAGAGTTCGTAGGTCTTCTGCAAACTTTGGAAAGGGAGTTTCCGGACCCACTAGACCCTACGTCTTCATTGCCTGGTTCTTCGGCTGCTGATGTTGGTGGCAGTTCAGCTTTTGAGGCCAGTGCACAGGTTGTGTGGGCAGGCTCCCAGGTTCCAGAGCCCATTGTTGAAAATGCGGTTGACTTGCCAGTGCCTGACGTTGCACAAGTCATTGGTACGCTCCGTGATCCGGACATGTTGCGATTGACTTGTTATGTCATGGCGCCGCATTATCAGGCTGAATGCATTGAGCTTTTACTGCCATACCCCTACACACAGTGCCTCTTCAACAATGCTGTTAGAGACTCTGTCACTGCCCTGGCACTACGGTACTCGCATATCATCGTTCCGACCTTCCCGCAGCTCGGCCCGGATTATGCGTCTGTACTCATGGTGCCTAAGTGGCTTCACGTGACTAGTATGCAAGTCATAGTCTTTGACATGCGAGGCCTTGGGGGTCCTGTGTACTCGGCTTATGCCTGGGACAATGTTACGTACGGGGATTGTGCTAGGGAGGCACATCGCAATGGCTTCCAGGCATGGCAAGCATATGCGCATGGGCATAACGAACCGCTTGGTGAGGATTCCTCGTTCTTGGCGGTGCTTGGAGGAGTCATACAGTTTCAGCCTCCTGGTTCTCCCCCGGTTTGGCATAGAACTTTCAATGCTAGGTTTGAAAGACCCAATACTTGGTCTGCCACGCCATCCCTTCCCGAGGCAGGCAGGGAGCTGCCGGTTTATGTCATGCATGGAGAAAGATACACCCTTTTCTCCTCAAGGCGCTTCCCCTCAGGTTCGCCTACGCAAATCATCGCCGATTTTGTAGAGAGGCAACCCCACAGTGCTCTTTTTATTGCCCCTACTGGAAATGCCCTGACGAACCTTGACTATTTCGGCACGAACTGCCGTGACGCACTTGCGGTCTTCCCTTTGACCCCAAGGCCGGACAGGGAAGGTATCATCATTTTCCTGGACCCCAGGCAGACAGGAAATACGCTTGAACACCTTTTCTTGCCAGAGCGTGAGGTAGAACCTTCTGTCCTCATCCAATACCTTCACCTTCGGGCGCCCCCAGCTTTCAAGATTGCCTTTTGGCCAAGGCCGGGGGCCAATGGGCGGCTAGCTCTGTCTGAAGGGGATACTGTTGTTTTTGGGTTTGTTGAGGATCTCCCAGACACGGAAGAAGAAGACGGGGATGACTTTGATTCCGTTGGGCCATCGTCGGATTCAGGGTCAGATAGCCCGCCCCGTGGTCCACCTCCACCTGTTCCTGTCAACTATGTGCCAAGCTCGCCTGCTCCGGCTCGCAATGAGAGGTCCAGGTCCAGGTCCATTTCAGGTCGAAGCCACAATAATCATGCTGGTCCCCATGACCAAGGTACATCCGCATGTGCCCATGCGCTTGAGGAGGTTGAGGTTGCTGGAGTCGACAAGGCGTTTGGGTTGCTTGCCTCAGATGTGGATTTGATCGGATCTTATGGGTTTCTAATGCTGGATGTTAACCCTTCTTTTCCCGTGATCCACCGTGGCATTTTGCAGGCAAAACTTCTCGAGGAACCTACGCCGTACACCCCAGAGGAACTCGGGCGCCTTGATGCTCTTCGACAGTTTGCCGGGGATTTCGGCATCCCCTGGCGCTACAGGCCTAGTTGGGATCTGCACCGTTTTGCCTTTGAATCGCCACCTTATGGCATCGTCGAGGAGATTGAGCTTGTCCCTACCCGACTTTGTTTTGCAGTGTTGTCCGTCGGGTATACCCCAGAGCGACTTGCGGTTGATACCTTCATTCCTGCGTCCCTCGAGCAGGTGTTGACTCAGGTCCAGGCGGCTCGGGAGCCACATAAGGCCCAGCACTTTCAACTGCTCGTGCCCGTACTGCCACAACCACAGAAGGAGTGGGGTCTGCTCCTTGCTTTGCCGGCTTGGAACCCAACTGCCAGTGTTGTTGTCATTGATGCGCGTGCCTATGCTGGTACGTTGTTCGCCGTTCAAGCTCCTATCTTCGTCGATAGAGACTCCATCCTTTTCCTCGCTGGCATCTCAGCACAGAGTACGGCTCTTGTTTTCTCAATGCTTGATGACAGTCCTTTGGTCGCGGGCCAGGACTTCAGGACCTTCCCCGGCCTGTGCTTCCATATTTCTGCTGTCATCCCCGCAGGACCAGAGATCCATGTCCTAGACGACATGTTGAGAGATCGGTCGGCATGGAGGGAAGGCCCCGCCTATCCTCTTCCCAGGTTGCCGGCCTGCTACTGTTGCGTAACGGATCATGGGCATTTTCTTCATACTGCGGATCCTTCCCGTCCGTGGTCCTATCGTGCAGAAATTGCTGCAGCAGCAAATGTCAGCACAGAGCTTGTGCTCCTCAACCCTTCGGCCCCGAGAGTTTCGGATTGCTCAGTGTACGGGTTGTCTTGTGATGCGGTTCTCGGAGTCGGGCCGCGTTTGCGGGAGACCTTTTTTGTCTTGGTTGACTGCCGGCCGATCATGCAGGGGTGGCATCTGGTGCGGACAGGTCCGACAGTCGATCTTGATGCAATCGAGAGGGAGCTTGGGGAATTCTCTCCCCTTCATTGGGAGCTAAATGTCCTCCCAGCGTCGCCAGAACGACACTTTTTTCCTGTCTTTGCAGGGCAGGTTCTGACTGCGGTTTACGTACCCAGTGCGGACGAATGGGATCAAGGTTGCTGTGTCAATCATGCCCCCTACTGTGGGAGCCCACCGGATGAGGCTACTTCTGGCAATGCCCCAGTCGCTTTTTCTGCAAGGTCAGGCAGTGCTGACATTCTGTTCTCGGAGAACAGCTGGGCCTCCCTTGCCTCACATGCCTTTTTTGTCTACAGTCTGACACTCGACAGGCTCTCATGGGCATTTCGTGTGATTGGTGAATTCTGTGGCCTTTCTCGGTTCTCCCGCCTTGCAAGCCTCCTTGCTGGTTGGTGCCTTACGAGTCCAGTTCCAGCGTGGACTCTTTTTGCACTTACGCCTGTCGTACCGACGGTACGCATTAGAAGCCGCCCATCTGGTTTCCTGGCCCATGTGGTTGTTGGTCTTCTACTTTTGCCGATTGGCCATGCTGCCCCTTATAGTGAGCTATCTGATGGCAACCTTGCTGGTGTTGTGCCTGCCACTGCAGTTGCAGTTGACATGTGTCCGACCGATTCTTTTCAGGACGCTCGTCTCAGCGAGCCTCGGTTGCGCACCTCTGTGCCTCCTGCGGATGGTGGGTCTACATTCCCTCGCGTTGCAAAGTCTCATGATGTCTTCATGGGTAGGCCCCTGCCTACTCCTGCTAGGGCACCAGTCCGAGTCCCTGGCTTTGAATCAGATGCTCCAGGCCTTTCGGAGAATACTGTTTCGCTTCCGGCCGCCACTGATCCATTTGCTGACCGAACCTGGCGTAATGACTTGGATACCATTGGCCCGACGGTCTTGGAACAAAGCCTCAGGCAGCGGAATTTCAGCCAGTTTCTTGATACGGTTGCACTGATTGAGGTTCTGACTGAAGTGCTTCATGGCCCGGTTGTTGCTCAGTCACATTCGGTCGCTGACACTACGATTCAACAGATTTGCCTGGAAGACTCCATTCCTACCACTCACTTTCAGAACAGCTGTCTGCAACTTCGGGAGCTAGTCCCACATCCCCGATCCAGCGGGGATCTTGGTGGAGCCCCTGATTGGCTTGATAATGATATCAGGTCATTGTGCATGGACCCTCGAGTCCCGACAGCCTTACGGCAGCAGTTTTCCTGTTTCCGCAAGTGGCATGGGGATGGTGATCAACATGGTCCCTTTGACGGAGTTCATGTGTACACAGACGGCTCGGCAGATAGTGGGGACAATATCAGTCCATGCTCCTGGGCCTTCAGTGTTTGGTGCCGTCGTGGCGCACAGCTTTTTCTTTACGGATACTCCGCCGCCACGGCAGTTTTGCATGGTACTCCTTATTTTGTCGGAGAGACCCAAGACACTCCTGTCCAATCCGAACTGTTGGCACTGATTTGGGCATTGGTGTGGGCTGTTGAGTTTTGCCCGGCACTGCACTCTTGTGTGACCTTCCACTTCGATGCCACCAGCGTAGGGTATGGAGTTTTCGGCGCCCAGTGTGCGGTGCGATGTGAAGCTCATGAAGGCTTTGCGTCTCTTCCGGCTTTGGCAAGCTCTCTCCGGCAGTACCTCTCTGCAATTGTCAGCGTTGACCATGCTCATGTACTAGGACACAGCGGTGTGCTGCCCAATGAGTTGGTGGACCAGCTTGCAAAAAGATCACGCAAGTGTCCAGAATCTCTCTGGGATCGTTGCATGCCCTCCTGGCCACATGATCTTGCCCAGCATGAGCTCCTGCCTTGGCTGTGGGTCTTAGCAGCTCATAGACATGATGTCCCTTCATTGTTCGCCTTCGAGTCAGAGGCGCATCGACTCCAGAGCTCTCCTGCTGTCGCCACGTGCGGTCCCAGGCAGGGCACTTCGACGCGCCATATTGCCCCAGGTGAGACAATTCATGATTTTGTTGCCATCACCTTCAATGTTCTTACTCTCAAAGACAAACCCGGGGGAGCCGCAGATCTTGATTCTAGTAATGTGCCTGTAGGAATGCGCTTAAGAGGGCGCCGAGCGCTCCTGGTCGAGGAGTTGGACAGGCATGGGCCACTCTTTGTCGCCCTGCAGGAAACACGTATTCAAGATACTGCTGTTTTACCGGATTCTTCCTACTGGATGCTTCATGCAGGAGCGACCTCGCAAGGGGTAGGTGGGTGTGCGTTATGGATAGCAAAACGCAAGGCGTATGCTGTACACGCAGGTCGAGAGCATTACTTGCAGCTGCAGCACTTTGTCGTTACGGGCCAATCGCACCGTCACCTCTGTGTCAGTATTCAGGCTCCCTACATGAAGCTCTTCATTGTAGTCGCGCATGCCCCTTCGCTGGCCAAGCATTGTGTTGAGGAGGTTAGGCTGTTCTGGCGTACCCTTTCGGACGCTCTCCACAAGCGGCCTGCGGGCACGGATTACTTGGTGCTCTTAGATGCTAACTCTCGTCTTGGAGAGGTCCCTACGGACGCTGTTGGGTCCTGCGGTGCTGAGCCAGAGAACACTGCAGGTACCCTTTTCCATGGGTTCGTCCTTGATCAAGGTGGCTTTCTGCCATCCACTTTCCCTGAGTTTCACGAGGGCAGTCACCCGACGTGGCTTTCAGCGCAAGGGCACTCTCACAGGCTGGACTATGTCATGGTGCCTTCCTCTTGGAAGTCTTTTCGACTTCGCACCAGTGTGTTGCACGGTTTTGAGGCGATGCAGCTCAAGGAGGATCATTCACCACTCCTCCTGCATGCTTGTTTCGCTGGGCGCGCGCCTCTCGCCTCTTACACGGAGAAGTGCACTCATGCAGCGCGGCCGGTTGTCTCCCAAGACACTACAGAGCGCCAGCATCAATTAGGGGTCTTGAAGGGGCTCCGTACCGCGCCATGGCACGCTGCACCGGACCTCCAGTATGAGTGTTTTGTTTCGCAGTGGCGATCGGCTGGTCAAGACCTGGCCCGCAAGGCACCACCTCGGCCGAGACAGGTCTACCTTTGCCCTGACACCATTGGCCTTGTCGACACGTGTCGTGCACTTCGTGCCTATTTGAGGCATGAAGCCGGGGAACGCTCACAACGGCTACTCAAGCTTGCCTTTGCAGCCTTTGTTCTCCTTGCCAGACGCCAGCAATTTACTGACGCGACACGTTCGGTCGCAGATGACTGGCTGCGGGACCTCGATTACAGCGAGGCTAGAGCCGCAGCGCTCCTTCGTTACTTCGTTGGGAGACTGCGCAAAGCTGTTCATAAGGACAGGCTCTCATACCTGCAGGGCTTGGTTACGGCCGTCAGCCAGTGTGACGTCAGGGACGCCAGATCGGTCTATGGGGCCATTCGGAAGGCTTTCCCTTCAGCTCGATCTTCCCGGCGCAGCTCCTTCGTACCGCTCCCAGCTGTCGAGCTTCCCTCCGGAGAGCTTGCTGTGACGCCGGCACAAAAGGCCGATTGCTGGCGCGCCTATTTTGGGGAACAGGAGGCTGGTGTGCCCGTGGATGAGCTGAAATATGTCACTGCTTTTAATGCTCGTCAGAGGACCCCAGTTCCTTTTGACTTCCGGGCTGTCCCTAGTCTGTCTGAGCTCGAGCAGGTTGCATTGCAAGTGAACAAGTCCAAGGCTCCTGGTCCTGACGGGATAACTGGCGACTTGCTCAGACTGTGCCCCGTGCAGGCAGCTGTCCAGCTCTATCCGGTTATCCTAAAGACGGTTTTGGCCATATGTGAGCCTATCGAATTTAGGGGTGGCCTGCTGCACTGCTTGGCCAAACGTGCGGGGGCGGCACTTCAATGCAAGCATTTCCGATCAATCATGCTCTCCTCCACCCCTGGAAAGCTTTATCATCGACTCCTCCGGAATCGGTTAGTGCCCCTACTTGCCGACCATGGACATCCCACCCAAGCGGGAACCATTCCAGGTGTTGGCATTGAAGCCATCTCTCTGCTGATCCGATCCTTTCAGATGCAGCGTCACCACTCCGGGGGACTTTGGTCTCTGATCTTTTATGACCTTCGTGCAGCCTTTTACAGGGTCGTCCGAGAGATGCTTTTCCAGACTGATTTGTCTGACCAATCCATCTGTGCGCTTGTGCATCGGCTCGGACTCCCGCATACAGCGTTGCAGGAGATCGCTTCGCAGCTGCAAGCCATTGCAGTATTGCCCTCATGTGGTGCGAGTCCGCATTTGACTGCGTTAGTCCAGGACATGCTTCATGCCACCTGGTTCAAGGTCGATGTAAGTGACACTATCACCCTTACTTGTAAGGGGACGAGGCCGGGAGATCCTGCTGCGGATGTTCTTTTCTCACTGGTCTTCGCGGCCTTCGTTCGCACACTTGAGCCTATCTTGCAGGCCCACGGCCTCACCTCGCCTGTTCGCGGGACTCCATTAGCTCCGGAATGGGCGGCCCTTCCTGATGGGGGTTCTTTCGGTCTTCCCTCCTGGGCCGATGATTTTGTGTCGCCAGTTGAGGCTACAGGGCCTGCAGCCCTTGTTGATTCCGTGCGGCGCACAGTTAAGCTTGTGCTCGAACGTGCCACGTCTTTGGGCATGCAGCTCACTTTTGCTGATGACAAGACAGCAGCACTTTTGCCCTGCGGTCATGACTGGTTTCAGTTTGGTGCGGACTCCGGCCCCCAAGGCCAGGCAGGCGTTTGGGTCACTGATGATCTCAGCTGTGAGCAACACTTCCTTCCATTTGTTTCTGCGTACAAACATTTGGGACACATTCTCACATCTTCGACCACGCCACAGCCTGACATCCTGTTTCGACGGTCAAGAGCTCAGGGGGTCATCAAGCCTGTCAAGTCGCGGCTTTTTGGAAATCGCAACATCCCTTTGGGCATCCGGCGCAATATCTTGCGCTCTTTAGCGGCCTCCCGGTTTGTTCACTCCAGTGCTGCTGTAATACTGCCTGCAGCCATTCACGAAAGGCAGTGGGATAGAGCTTTTCTGGACATTTGGAGAGTTTTGCTCCCGCGGACCTCGGCGGAGACTCAAGCCCATTCTCTGGCTGTGCTTGAGGTTGCCCAGGCACCGTCGCCTCCACTGGCACTGGCAGTTGCCCGCGCACGTTTTCTGGAGAAATTGACTGTTCATGGCCCTGCAGTTCTTCGTGCTGTCCTTTTCGAGCACTGGTTGAAGCACCGTCGTAGCTCGTGGCTGGCGCAGGTCGAAGGGGACATCAAGCTTGTCTTACAGTATCTTCCGGACCTCTCTCCTCTTCTGGATGGTGATCGGGCTCTGCACCAACTATTGGAGGCCATACAGGAGGAACCAAGCTGGTGGGTTCGTAAGACCAAGGCCGCAGTTGCTATGTTCCTTGGAGACCTCAAGCCGTGGCGTGACCTACGGCTTGGCAAGGAGCCTGCTGAGATCACTGCGAACTTTCCCCACAGGGAAGTAGAGTCTGCCGGGGTTGATGACCAATCCTTTCACTGTCATTTGTGTCGAGCAGCCTTTCGTCTCAGGAAGCACCTCGGGGCTCACCTTGCACGTACGCACCGGGTTTGGAGCCCGTCACGTCACTTCACGATGGCCGAGTACTGTCATGGTTGCCACAGATGGTATGGCTCAGCTTCCCAAGTGGCGCAACACTTAAAACAGTCAGACTCCTGTCTATGGAGACTTTGTCATGTTTTTCCTCCTTTGAATGATGAGGAGATCGCTCAGGTCGAAAGTGAAGAAAAGAAGAGGCAACGACTCCTCAAGGGTGGGCAGTGGACTGCCTATGTTGGGGTGGGGCAGCGAGCCCTATTTTATGGTCCACTTACGCCGACCGCGGAGGAACGCTTGGGTCAGGTCGACTTCTTTGATGAGGATGTTGATCTGAGTTCGCTCCGCAGCGTTTTTCACCCTAGTCCAGCAGATGTGGCTTGGATTTCCGCCCACATTGCTGGTCGATCCGTTGAGGGACGGCGGGAGACCGCCTGCTCTTGTTGGAGGAGTCGTGCCGCGCACAGTTTCACCTTGCATAGAATTTAGAAATTTTGGGACGCGCCGCTAAGAGCGGCCCGACGGTCCGCAATCCAATCCAATCCATACTAGTTTGGGGTTCCTTATTATAATGATAGTATAATGGGCCCCCCAAAACCCTATTTTAATTATTAAGGCCCCTATATTAACTGGAGGTTCATGGGTGGTTATAAACGGATCCCCTAGTATAGGTTATAACGACAGTTACCCTACTTACAACCCTACTTGTAACTACCCATGAACCTCCAAGTACCTGCAGTCTTCATTGTAGTTCCTTTTTGGGGTTGCCTGCTAGGACCCTTAAGACAAAATTGGTTCAACCAAGACAAGTAACTTCAATGCAGACCATATAGGTAATATAGAAGCCTGAATACTGAAGAATGCCGTTCCCTCGGGCTACGAAGGAAAGCCTTACTACAATATGTCGCAATTTCCTGTTCTGAGTATTATGAGCCCTAGGTAGGGGTACGTTCGCCAGCTTGGTTTTGTATGTAGGTAAGTCAGCCCATTTAGTACTTATCTTCCTTACCCTCATTAGGTCCTTACAAGCCTCACTCACCTTAAACCCCTCAGTTGCAAATCCCAAGGATTCTGCCTTGCCAGGCGTTCAATCATACACGCAAGGCCAAGGCATCGCAGAACTCATAGTGCAGTAAAAGAGTCAATAGAGTTCCTCTACGGGTTCCTTTAAGGGTCACTGGCCTGTTTCTGTCCCCAGCCTCTTTTGGTTCTGTGCAGCGTGGTTAAGTTAAACCCTAAACCCTTAACCCTAAATCCTAAACCCTAAACCCTAAACCCGAACCCCTAAACCCGAAGCCTCAAACCCTAAACCCTAACCCTAAAACCCTTAACCCTGAACCCTAAACCGGAAGCCTTACACCCTGAAGTCCAAGCTCCTCGCAAGGAGGGAAATGCAACGGGACGGGAGACGTTCAGGCGCCTTAGTTCAAAAAACTTAGGGCTTAGGGTTTAGGGTTCCTAAAACCTAACCCCGTCGCCCTAAACCAAACTTTACGAAACCCTAAACCATGCGAAGCCCTGAACCCCAAACACTAGCCCAAACCAAACTCTACCAAACCCAAAACCATGCGAAACCCTCAACCTCAAATATTAGCCGTCGCGAGTTGAGCATTGGTGGTTCTGTGTTGAAGCAAGGAGCCCTAGAATCGAGTCTTTTGGGTAGTTGTTCTTTTTGGGCTTTTTGGGTTCGGGTTGTGAGATATAGGGCTTAGGGATTTGGGTTTAGGAATCTAGGAGTTTTGGGACAAGGGTTTAGGGCTTGGGTTTGGATTTGGGGAGGGGGAACCCTAGATATTGCGAGCCTTAAAACGGCACCCTACGGTTTTGCGATCCACGGAGGGACCTCGATTTTGACACTTACCCAGGCCATCCCTAGATCATTTCGTCGGTCATTCGTGGGGAAGCCGAACGAGGATCCCAACTTTTCGCAAGCCCCCCGTTCCGGAAGTTAGGATACTTGGAGGTTCATGGGTAGTTATAAGTGGGTTTATAAGTAAGGTAACTATAGTTATAAACCATATTAGGGGACTTNNTACCCATGAACCTCCAAGTAGTGAACAGTGCTGGTTGAAGCGTACAGGACTCTGAAAGGAGGGTTCAAAGCGCACAGCCAAAGCCATGAAAGAAGCAGGGGTTCAAAGTGTATATGGGCTCTCCTGTGGTTGTGAGGGTGTACAGAAGAGTTCTGAAGAATGAGCAAGAACAGTCTCGTGTAGTCCCCATTGATGTTCAAATTTTAGTATATCCACACCATGATGATAATGACGGCCATCAAGCGTAAGTTGCGAAATGATGCTTCGTGACAGCGCAGGACATGCAGCAGCTTCCATAGCTAAACTCAACAAGACGACTTCAACAAGGAAGCAGGAAGAACGGCAATTATCAGCAACATCACGAGTAGCAGCGAAAACCGTACACCGTAAACCCAACTCAGAAACTGGTAGACTGGAGCAGGAAGACATTTTTCTGTGGTTCCTCCTCAACATGAAGAGAGATGGCATTGACGTATTAGGATTGGGGTCGAGCGGCGGTTTAGTACTGCACGGTCTCGGTTGCCACCCTCGAACCCTACAGCTTCAGACGGAAAGCCTTCTACCCTGGAGCCCGAATAGACCAACATACCCTTAAAAGGGATTTCACAGGGCTTCTACAAAGGTTTTACTTCGGGCTTTCAACCGGGAGCGGTTCATGAAAAAGCCCAGGCCCAAAAGCCTAAGCCTTAACTCCTAAAGCCTTATGAGTCCTTAACCCTCACACCTAAAAAGCCTTTAGCTTCAAACTTCCCTAAACTAGAAAACCTTTAGCTTCAAACTTCCCTAAACCATAATACCTTATACCTCCTAAACCCCCCCCCCCCCCCCCCATCTAAAAACCCGTACGACCGAAAGCGCATGACAAGGGGCTCTACCAAGCCCTTGGCGCGAAACATCAAGGCGCCGCGAGGGGAAGGGCCTCTTTTGGCCTTACAATGATTACGATCCTGTTCCCTTCCCGTCCGCTTTAGGGGTTCATTGGAGGCTTTGTTTAGGGGGATGAAATATTTACGCTTCTGTACTAGCAGTATCTAATGTTTGCTGCGGTCGATGTTGGGGATAATGGGACCTGATGTAGCAAGGACATAGGATTTTTGATATACGTGTTTTAGCCATCCATGTCCATTGGAGGGTTCAGCGTTTACGGGTTGATAGTGTTTAGTCACAATTGTTGTGGCAGAAGCTATTGTGCAAGCTTCAAGGTAAAGCAATCTCATCCTTGCTACAAACTGTCATGAACCCTGAGTCGTACTCCGCACGCCCCTATCCACGCATAATAATTACCTACATGATTTTGGGGTTCCTTATTATTGTAATTTTAGTATCATGGGCCCCTATATCACCGATGAACCCTGATTGAGGGTGTCAGCAGTCGTGGAGCAGGATTCCTTTAAGGTTACTTGCAGGCTCATGGGCATTTGTCAGTCGACTGCTCGAATCTTCGCCCAGCCTAGATTGTGGAATGCACAGCGCTACTCATGAGCTTCTTAAGTTACCCTAGAGCCTAAACCCTTCTTAAGTAGGATTTCAAGCGGAAGGGTTTGGCACATGGGGCGTTTCGGGTGTCCGAGTTTGTGAAGGGCGCGCTGAACCCGAAAGGCTACGCTCTAAAACCCAAGGGTTTAGAGCATAGGAGGCCCATGACCTCGGTGTCATGAGGTCGACCACCGAAATCCTAAGTTACTATTTAGGGTTTAGGGTTTTAAATACAGCAAATAACAGAGGCCTAAATCCTATCCTTGTAGTGAAGAACTTATACTACAAGGCGGCTTTGGCATAATATGACGTTTGGAGTATCCCTCATCCGCTCAACGAAATAGTGTTGGGCCTCCAAAATTATTCGATTCCTTTGGCTTCCCGTTCGGAGCCTTAGGTTCCCAGAATTCCTAGTTTAATTCTCTAGACCTATATTGCCTAGCTGTAGGCGGTTTTTGAAAACAAGCACCTTCAGTACCCTTTGAAATTATGCTGCAGGTCTGACCCGTACGGTAAAGGACAATCCTACTCCTTTAGGGTTGTAGGGTTGCTGGTTTGAAGCTGACGGTGTATAGGGTTTCAAGCCTATAGTGCACCCCAGAAAGTTGGAAACTGGATTAAGGACGACTGGTGCTGGGATTCCCCATAGGATTGAGGCTATGGCTATGGGTTTCCAACGCAACCCTTGTAGAACCCATGAAACCCTTTGGACGACTTGTCTAAAGCCCGAAAAGGGCACGGCAGGAATTCGCCGCGAAGCTTTCGGCCAGGACCGACAGTTCTTGGATTGGGACTTCGGTTTGTACATTGCACGCTGCAATCCCTTCAGGGTTTGCAAAGAAGGCCAAACATGCTTGATATAATTTCGGAGGTTGGGTCACAACGTGTCAGGGGCATTTGCCGATTCTCTAAAACCTCCTGCACCTTCTGTCATAGTTGCGAGCTGTATACCTTGGATCCCCACGTCCTTGGGCCTTGGGCCCTAATCTCTAGCCGCAACCACAACCTCATGCACCGCTGGAGCCCGAACTTGTTGGGGTTTACGGTTTAGGGAGGCATCCAATGCTCAGCTTTCTTCGCAGTGCTCTTTTGGTTTGGGGATTCCGGGTTTGGGGTTTACGCCGAGGATTGTACCCTACCCCCTTTTCAGGGTACCTGGTTTACTATTTAGGTACGAACCACAAAACTAGGGCACCAAAAAGGGCTAGGTTAGGACCCTTTAGCTCGGCTTCAGTCAGCAGTCTGATCATAGGGTCGGCGGAGGGAATGTCTGCGGTTAATGTCGGAACGTGATTAAGAAACCCGGGTCCTTTAACCCCCAAAAAACTAGGATCCATATAAGAGCCCAAACAAGGACCATGGGTTTCTTAGTCAGGTTTCTACTCCAAAGCCCCTTTTCTGATCATGAAGCTCAGACCCTAAGCAGCATAAGCCCCTAAGCCCAAAGCCCGAATAGTAGGGTTTAGGGGATATAGGGGTTTAGGGGTTTAGGTGTTTAGGGTTTAGGGGTTTAGGGGTTTATGCAAGCAGTCTGCAGACAATCCGAGCGAGAGCGACACCTGGATCCTTAGCCAGCTGATTAAGGCACACAAATGAATTAATTGGCGGATCGACGGTTTCTACAATACCTGTTCCAGATCACAACAGGCGACTCTTCTGGAAGCGGGCATGCGTATCGCATGCAAGCTGGGCTCCATAGCAGTCGCACCACTTGCGGATATTCCCGCGCAACAAACAGCTCCTGTACAGTCCCTCCTTCATGTTGCCGAATTCTTCGTGGCACGAGACAGGTGCTCTGTACCATCACTGGACACCCAAAGACCCTCAAGCCGAAGGGGTTTAGTGGTTTTGGGTTTTGGGTTTAGCGTTTAGGGTGTAGGGTATAGGGTTTTAGGGGTTAAGGGTTTATAGGGTTTAGGTCCCTTGTAGAGCTTTTGTAAAGAGCCGCTAAGGGAACCCTTGTCAGGAGCCCCACAAGCC